ACAACCTAGACTGGATACTGCACTGAACTCAGCTAGAGAACTTGTTTAAAATGCAGATTCCTGGTTGGCAAGATGGCTCAGCTGGAAAGACTGCTTGCAGCCAAGACTGAGGTGGATGCCTGGGACCTACAAGGTGGAAGGAGAGAGCTAACTCCCGAAAGTTGTCCTCTGACCTCTGCATGTGTGCTGTGGTATTCAAGAGTGCACGCGCGTGCGCGCGCGCGCGCGCACACACACACACACACACACACACACACACACACGCAAACTAATAAACATGATTCAAAAAAAGTAAATGCAGATTATGACTCAGGGGGCCTGGGATAGAGCCTGAGAGTCTTGCTCTCTAGTAAACTTCCGTATGGTGGGTACGCTGAGAGGCCTCGGTGTGAGAGTACGTGCTCTAGGAGGAGATGGACAGGTAAAGCAGTTCACTGAAACTGAGGAGCCCTTGGAGAAAAAGCTATGCTCTCTAGAACCGTCCCCCTCTCTCGGGAGCTTAGACTATGTAGTCCATAGTTACATCAAGAACTCACTCGAGGGACTGCAGAGGTGGCTCACCAGTTCAGAGGACCAGGCTTTCATCCCTAGTACCCACATGGCGGCTAGAACTGTCTATAGCTCACATCTCAAGAGATGCTATACCCTCTTCTGGCTGCCAGGAATATCGGGCGTGCGTGTGTTACACAGATAAATGTGCAGGCAAAACACCCATACACACAAAGACTAACAAATAAAAACCAGAAATGACTCGGCTCAGCATTACAGTATGTTCTCAGAATGTGTTCACCAAACAGGTGGAGATGGGGTGAAAGGATGGGGTAGGGTCAGGGCCTCACCTGGCTGGTCTCCGCAGGGTGGGGTCCCAGCTCTCACCCGGGCTGTGCTGAAAACTCACCACGTGTCTCTTTGGGTCAGTTCTGATCTGTTCCGTACTATCTCATTGCTATTGGCCGGATATGGCTTGGTGATGCTGGACTGACATGTCCTAGCCTTTCCCTGCCTCAGGTTGAAGGGGTCAGAGGTTATGTGTCAAAGTCCCCCGGAGCTTTAGGAACCAGGTCTGCCTGATATCAGGGAAGAAGTGTCGACTGTTTTCTTCCTGTCCCTGGAGTGGCACCATTTGTCCTCTGCTTCCCTGCCAGCTGTGTTCATCTACTTCTTTCTTCCTCTTGGCTTCTGCCCTATTTACTCTGTGATTGGCCCAGGGGAGTAGAGCGGGCTGGCAGGCACCCTATACAGAGCCTGGAGACAGCAGCCAGGCCTAGTAGACCCACCCGAAGGCCTCCTGCCTACTGGCCCTCTTCTACATGCCTGGCAGAGGTCAGGTCCTCTGTGATGCTCCTGTTGCCGTGGTGATCCTAGATGGGAAGACTCTAATGTTCTGGGTCTGGAACCTTCACCTGTCAGCCCAGCTGTGCTCTGCCTGCTCCCTGACATGGCTCTCTACCAGGGGGCTCGAGAGCATGGGCTCTGCTACCCTCAAAGTCTGCTCTGCACACCCTCACTCCTCAGACCTCCCTTCAACGCCAACAGAGACCCTAAGAGGTAAGTCTCAAGTCCTGGATAGCCCCTGTCCAGGGCCGAGGTCACGGTTGGGGGTAAAAAGGGCCCAGGATCCAAAGTCAGAAGACTTATATGTAGCACAATTAATAAAAAAAAAACCAAAGACAGATATTGGGGTTCAACCTGAAGACCAGAAAAGCAAAGCAGCCAGCCATTGGCTGTTACTTTTACCTCAGTCCAAAATGGCAATCCTGCCTCCAGGAATCCTCAGAATGAGACTGTCTGAAACCTTTCTCCTCCTGTTTTATATTCGTCTCTAGTGCTGGGATTAAAGGTGTGCACCACTACCTGGTCTGTGTGACTGAGCCCACAGTTGTTTTACTCTCTGATCTTCAGGCAAGCTTTATTTATTAAAATACAAATGAACCATCACTACACTTACGGTCCCAGGGTCCCAGGTCCTAGTCTTAGATCAATGATGTGACCTCAGTCACAAGCCTTGAGCTCCGGTGTTGCCTAAGTGTATGTACTCAATGTCCCTCAGTATCGCCTCTATGGCTGGCCATGGGCTGCTCTGATGCACTTACATCTCTGCTCTGTAAGGTCCTATTCCTGTTCCAAGCTCCAACTCCAATGCTACCTCTCTGTAAGTCTTCCTGGTCTCTCAGATGTCATCGCTCTCATTCTCTGCTGGAGGTTTTTTTTTTTTTTTTTTTTTTTTTTGGTTTTTCGAGACAGGGTTTCTCTGTGGTTTTGGAGCCTGTCCTGGAACTAGCTCTGTAGACCAGGCTGGCCTCGAACTCACAGAGATCCGCCTGCCTCTGCCTCCCGAGTGCTGGGATTAAAGGCGTGCGCCACCACCGCCCGGCTTGCTGGAGGTTTAAAAATATTTCTCTAGTGGTCACTCCACTTCTTAGAGGCAGGAGTTAGAATGGATTCCATGCTGGCCTCAGAGATGTTTTGTTGAATACCGTCTTTGTGGAATGGAAAGAAAAAGAGAATGATCTGGGTTGAGTTGGATACTCGGGGTCCTGCACCCCCAGGTATGTCTTCGGCTTTACTGTTTCCCTGAGGTCTGCTTGCTTGGCTGGAGACATTTTCGTGTCTGAAATCTGTGGGAGACCATGCCTTGTGTTGGAGTGTGCCTAGAGCGGAGTGAGTCCAGGAGCAGCTTGTTCACAGAGTGTCTCTGCAGACATGTTGGCCCATCTGGGATGGGGAACAGCCCTAGGAAGTGTGGCCCGTAGAGATTGCTGGGCTAATGATGAGGAGCAGGGGGGCTTCATGGAAAAGGGAAGAAGGGACCCAGCACCTCCCAGCTCCTTGAAAGGATTCTACAGCTACTGGTAATGAATGATCAGTGAGAGAACAGAGCCTTCCAAAGTTAGCTCTGTGACACCCGGACAGCTGGACCAGGCTTCCCCAGCAAAAAGCAAGTCAATGGTTCCCTCTAGTGGCCAATACGAGGGATGCTCCTGCATCCATTAAAGTCAGGATTTGCTGGGTTTTGTTTTTTAAATCTGAAACAGAATTGTGACAGGAACTGGTTCAACTTTAGTTTAAATATATATTTGTTAGGCTGTGGATGTATTTCAGTGGAAGGAGAGCTTGCCTAATATGCATGAAGTCTTTCATGGGATCCCCAGTACTGCATAAACTAGGAATGGTGATTGGCTCCTGTAATCTTAGCTCTCAGGAAGTAGAAACAGGAGTATTAGACGTTCAAGGTCCTCCTGGGCTACATGAGAAGATACCTCAAATAAAACATGTAGACGGTGGGGGTGTGCATGTGTGTGCATGCACACACACGCATGCAGAGGCCATGGACATTGTTGGATCTCCACCTTATTGTTTGCTTGATACAAGGTCTCACTGTGTATCTCTAGCTGGCCTGGCACTCACTATGTAGACCAGGCTGTACTTGAACTCATACAGTTCAGCCTGCCTCTGTGTCCCAAGTGCTGCAATTAGAGACATATGCCACCACATCTGACCACCATCTTCTTTTTTGAGACAGGGTCTCTTCACTGAACCTGGAGCCCATGTTGACTGAAATGGCTGGCCAGTGAATTCCAGGTACCCTACTGTCTGTATCATTCTGCACCAGGGTTATAGAGACATGCCATACTCCGCTTTTTAAATGGGTGGGTGCTGGGGATCCAAACTCATGCCCTCATGGGCACATGGCAAGCATCTTATCATGTGTGTATGTGTGTGTGTGCGTGTGAGTGTGTGTGTGTGTGTGTGTGTGTGTGTAAGCCTAGTAGGCGGTAAGCTCTCTTCTGAGTGTCAGTATGTGTTGGGGCTAAGGAAAAGCAAGGTAAGAATCCATAGCGATTCTCAGCCCAGGCTGTATATTACAACTGCAAACCAGCGCCAAGGCCAGGCGAGCCTGCTCCTGTGCTGCTCCTGTGCACCTACCAGGTGGGCCACAGGTACCATGCTTTGCAGATCCTCCCCAGGCCTGGCTTGACTGTCATCCCGCCTGCTCATCCTGCAGCAGGGCAGCGCTTGATCTCACCCCGTGTTTAAACAAAAAGACTGAGGCTCGCATCAGTTCTGTCTCTTCTTTGTTCAACTAAGGACAGGAACAGGGTGGTAGGGAGGGGTGGCTGCTTTCCCTCCAAGGTTGTCCTGGGTCTCTGCAGACTCTCAGGATAACACCAGCTTTATTGTTCGCTGTGACTAGAAAAGTAGTCAAGGTCATGGTGAAATAGCTATTTCCCCGTTTCGGGACAGAGAATCACCTGCAAGCTCAGCCTCCTTAGGGAGTGAAGCGGTGGGAGGAGGGCAGCAGCAGAGAGTAGGAGGGCAGCTTCATTTGAAGACTCAGGGTCAAACTGTAAGCTGGGGTTTCCAGAAGTGTGGTTCCCAAGACCACCCAAATCAGACTCCTGCAGCACTTGATAAAAATGCAACGTCTCAAGGATGTAGCACCAGACTCCCAAGAAAGACCCAGAGGAGCTGCGCATTTGGTACGTGTCTTGGCAACTGTTTCAGCCAGTGGAGACTGAGAACCAGTCTGTACTTCATGGAGGACAAGCTTGTTGATAACCCCCATCTTAGCCTGATACTCAGAAGAGCCTTTAGAAAGGACAGGTGTGCTAAGGTCTGTCCAGCTCTTGAGATGCTGCTCCACTGCCCCTGGGGGCATGGGTAGAGCCTTTGTTTCTCTCAGGCTGTCTGGAACTAGGTAGCTTGATGTCTGGCATTTGGTTTTCTCCCACCAAGGCCAGCTGCCACACCGGGCCTTCCAATTCCACTTTTCTTTCCCTACCTCCGAGGTACCTACTAGTAGGCCCTGCCAACCAATCACAGCCACCACAACCTATGATGTCACCAGCAGCCAATCAGAGCTTCTTACCAGTGCATGCAGATTGCTGATGAAATTCCAAAGCAACGCATCCTTTTGAGATGCTGACGCTGAGGCCTAGTCAGGGCTAGCACACAGGTCACTAGAAGCCAGGGACTTGTGGCAGTGGGCTATAGTCATTTCTGGAGGCACCTCCAGAGGCCTGGACAAAACTTATTCCCCTGAACTTCTGGTACTTTAGATGAGGTTTAATCCTGCCCCCCAAAGACCTCAGAAATCAGGACACAGTGGTGGCCACACAGATTTCTTGATTCTAAAGTTTAGAGCCATGGAAGAGGGGGGTGTGATCCTCAATTCCAGGCCTGTTCTTAGCTCAACACCCCCAGGAAGGAATTAGAGGAACAGTGCCCGGGCAGGGCTGGCTGCTGCACTTGAGCAGCTTACAGGAGGGGCCGAGACAAGGGCTCCTTTGTTCAAGCTTTGGCTTAGAAAGTCAGGTGGCAACTCGGCACATATGTAGGTGGGCAGTGCCAACCTCCCAGTATGGCCAGGGGTACCTGCCTCAGGGTCTCAGGGAGTTCCATCAGCCCAGTGGCCAGGACTTATGGGGTTGCCTGAACTGCCGGAACCCTGCCTGTGAGTAGGGGTTGCCCAAGTGCACAGCGCTGGGGCTTTATAGACCTTAAGGGGTGGACGATTGCGGGTGTGATGGGCACATATTGGCGCATGTGGGGGGGAGATGGACTCTGTATGGTGGAAAGGGAGTAGTCAATCAAGGCTTTGATCAGTCTGTATTGAGCACCCGCTCCAAGAACACGTTAAGGGCTTCCAGTGGGAAAAGAGAATAAACAGTGAGCAGGAGTAGCCTGTGTCACATGACTTCAGATAACTTGTAGAAGGACAAGCCAAGTGGGAAGACACCGCTGGTGACAACTGGGACATTATTTCCAGTAGGATGGCTGGGGGACACTTCTCCTAGGAGATGACCCAAAGTGGAAGTGCCCCCCCCCAGGTGGTTATAGCAGCAGGTGAAAAGGCCCTGGGGTCACCATCCAGTAACCATTAGCAGGGCATATCCTCCTTTCAGACTGTGTGCTGGGAATGGGGACATGGCTGTGAGCAGGACTAGCCTGTATCCCTGAGCTACTCACTCCAGTGTTGTGGAGGAAGCTGGGGAACCGGGCTGAGCACTCGTGCTGCCTGGCTCTGAGACCCTGAGCTCTGTGTGAATGCTGCTGCCGCCCTTGCAGACGCCTTTGTCATGGGCACATGGCAAGTCACAGACCTGCCCAAGGTCTTCATGTGTTCCTACCCTATCCCTCTGTGTCACCCTCTGCCTGCTGACCAGGACCCAAGCCCACCTACTGCTGCCCAGTGCCAAGCCATGACTATCACCTACACAAACAAAGTAGCCGATGCCCGTCTCGGTTCCTTCTCTTGCCTGCTCCTGTGCTGGCGCGGCAGCATCTACAAGCTGCTGTACGGGGAATTCCTCATCTTCATGTTTCTCTACTATGCCATTCGTGGAGTCTACAGGTAAGAGAGTGGGGAGAGGGTGGAGCATCTGCAGGAGGGCTCTCCAAGCCTGCAGAGAAAATGGGAGGAGTTGGGAGGGAGAGGGTCCAATGTTCCAGCTTGTTTATAAGGCTGAGCTGAACTTCCGGCCAGGCTCTGGCCACTGGGGGTAGAGGTTGGGAAGAAAAAAAAGAAATATTTGCCAGATATGTGTGTCATCTTGGGCTCGATCCCCAACACGCATGCACACGTATGCATACACACATGCACACACCACAAATCAGAGCAGAGGGGATTCCTGACATGTGTGTCATCTTGGGTTTGATCCCCAACACACACGCGTACGCACACAAACGTGCATATGTACACACACACGCACACACACACACACACACACGCACACACCCCAGACCAGAAGTGACTCAGGAGCTCTTTCTCTCCAACCCAGGGAGGGACCTGGAACACAGGCCTGAGCTAGTCCTACTGATGCACGCAGGCTGCCACAATACAGTTTAACATGCCTATTTCAAGAAAATGTTTTTATGAACAAAAGAATGCCGGGCAGGTATAGTTATAGAATACCTGATAACATTTGAAGTGAAAAAGCATGGGCTGGAGAGATGCCTCTGTAATTGGAGGCACCTACAGTTGAGCCTGAGGATTTGAGCTCAATCCCCAGGACCCACAAATTACAGGAGAGCACCAACTCCCACACACTGTCCTCTGAACTCCATGCATGTGTATGGTACAGGTACACACATACTTGGTCTCTCTCTCACACACACAAGAAATAAATACATAAATAAAAAATTAAAAAGCAATCATTCTACCATGTACTGAAAAACACAAAATGCTGGGTGGTGGTGGCACTTGGGAGGCAGAGGCAGGTGGATCAATGCGAGTTCAAGGCCAGTGTGGTCTACAAGAGCTAGTTCCAGACTCCAACCCCTCCCCAAAAAGGGGAAAAAAGAAAAGAAAAATGTAAAATATAAAATTCCTCTAGTTCTGGTGATACAAAGCTTTCTCATCTGTGCCCATCCCACCCTCTACGTTAGCAAAGCACAGCTGCACATTGGCGCCTTTGCTGCAGTCAGGGAACTTACCTTGTGTCATTAGAAGTACATAGTTTTCATTAGGGCTCATGCACCGTTTCCTGCATCCTATGGGTTTGGACAAATGTATCTTCCATAACATGTATGAACCATTAGAGTACCATCAAGAGTCACTTCATTGCCCTAAAACCAGATGCTCAGCCAGGCCATCCCTTTCCACCTTCCTTTTTTTTTTTTTTTTTTTTGGTGTGTGACACCATGCTTGGGTTCAGTCCCACATGTGGTGCCAAGACTGAACCTATGAACTTACTTGTGCTAGACAAGCACTGTGCCAACTGATCTACCAAGCCTTTTATCTTATACTTTCTAAAAACACCAGACCCTTCGTTTCCACCTGCTTTTATTTATTTTTTAAGATTTATTTAAGCCGGGCGGTGGTGGCACACGCCTTTAATCCCAGCACTCGGGAGGCAGAGGCAGGCGGATCTCTGTGAGTTCGAGACCAGCCTAGCCTGGTCTACAAGAGCTAGTTCCAGGACAGGCTCCAAAACCACAGAGAAACCCTGTCTCGAAAAACCAAAAAAAAAAAAATTTATTTTTATTTTATGTGTATGAGTGCTTTACTGGTATGTATGTATGTGCACCATGTGTGTGCATTGCTCAAGGAGGCCAGAAGAGGGCATCAGATCTCCCTGGAACTGGAGTTACAGATAATTCTAAGTTGCCACATGGATGCTGGGAACTGAATCTGGTTCTTTTGCAAGAGCAACAAATGTTCTTAACCACTGAACTATCATTCCAGTTTTGTCAACCACTTTTAAACAACTGTCCCTGGGTTTGTTTAAAAGGGTCAGTAAAGGCCTGGGAATAATATATCTCCGTGCTGGAGTGTTTTCCTAACATAAGTAAGAGCTGGGTTCCATACACACACACACACACACACACACACACACACACACACACACACACACACCACCCACCACATACACACATTCACAAAGCCCGAAGTAACCTCTTCCAAGAACCCACCTTAACCAGAAGAGGACCTGGGCCAGACCAGTTGAAAGGACAACATCCAGATAGTCCAGATAGCCCCGCTCTTCCCCCCACCCACCCCGGCGGGGAGTAGGAACACATTCTTAGACACTTCTCTCAATGCCTCTTTCACTCTCAGAATGGCTCTCACGAACGACCAGCAGCTGTTGTTTGAGAAGCTGGCTCTGTACTGCGACAACTACATTCAGCTCATCCCTATATCCTTTGTTCTGGGTGAGCGCCCCCTTGCGGCTGTTCGGGGTCCAGTGTTCGTCCCCCTAGTTCCAGGCACACAATGGGCGGACTTCCACCAGAGGCGGGGAGTGGGGTAAGATGGGCCAGTGGTCTTCTAAAAACGTTGAGGCTGGGCCCACATGTATCAGGAAGACAGAGGAACCGAGGCTTTTTCCGGCGCTGGTCTCTGGCCACAGCCCGTCCCCTCGCCCCTCGTCCCTCATCCCTCCTGCCCAGGTTTCTATGTGACGTTGGTGGTGACCCGCTGGTGGAACCAGTACGAGAGCTTGCCTTGGCCCGACCGCCTCATGAGCCAGGTGTCAGCCTTCGTGGAGGGCAAGGACGAGCAAGGTCGGCTGCTGCGGCGCACACTCATCCGGTACGTCATCCTGGGCCAAGTGCTCATCCTGCGCAGCATCAGCACCGCCGTCTACAAGCGCTTCCCCAGTCTTCAACACCTGGTGCAAGCCGGTAGGCAGTACCTGGAGTGGGCGGGGTCCGCAGGCCGGAGCTGACCCGAGGCGTGACCTGAGACTTGGAGTGGCAGGAGCTGACGCTGGGTGGAGCCAAAGTCCTCTGGACTTGAAGAGGTTGAGGTGGGGCAGGAATTGGGACAGAATTGGGCAGGCCAGAATCAGTGCTAGAAGTGGGGCAGGCCAGAGTAAACTAAAAAGGTAGGGATTTGAGAAAGGTCAAGAACCCTTCAGGGCTAAATGAAGGGGCTTGGGGACAGATGGAACTTGGATCTACGTCCTTTCTGTCTGCCTGTCCTGATTTCCGGTTTCCAGACTGGATGGCTTAACATGGGTTCTTGGCTTTCACTTCACTTTTCCGGGGCCTGACTCTAGCTAATAGCAAAGCCCTCTACCCTCCCACCTCCTGTCCCATGTGATCCAGAACAGCACCTAACTGGGGCTCAGTCATTTTGTGTGTTGAAACAAACATATCAAAAGAGCACAGAAATCCCTAGGAGCTCAGACAGGCTGGCTGGGTTTCCTGGTGCAGACTACTTCTTTTGCAGGGTTACCTGTTGCCTTGTCCACTCTGCCCTGCAGGCTTTATGACCCCTGGGGAATATAAGGAGTTGCAGAAGTTGGGCCTACCACACAACACATACTGGGTGCCCTGGGTGTGGTTTGCCAACCTGGCAATGAAAGCCTATGTTGGAGGTCGAATCCGGGACTCTGTCCTGCTCCAGAGCCTGATAAATGTGAGCCCACAGATGGGATGCAGTGGGAAGGGTTGTGGCTTCCTTTAAAGAGAAGGCTGGAGACTCTTCCCCCAGCCTGTCCTGGTGGTGTATGATATTTTTGAACAAGAATCCACAGCCCAAAGTGGCCCTTCTCCAAATCTCCCCTCTGTCCCCTCTCTGAGTGAGCCTGTGAAGTCCTGGCTCTTTTTTGCTAGATGAAGCTACTGAGACACGGAGGTCTAGTGAACTGCCTGTGACCACACAGCCAAAGCTATCGCATTAACATCATTTCATTAGATCTGGGGGAGAGCTGCGGGAGGTTCTGGGGGAGCAGGTGGTGGCCAGCACCTCCTCCCTCTCCCCCACCCTCCAGGAGATGTGCACCTTGCGTACTCAGTGTGGCCATCTGTATGCCTATGATTGGATCAGCATCCCGCTGGTGTACACACAGGTAAGGACGAGACTGGTGAGGCTTTTCCCTAGAGGCTGAGTACAGATTCCCATTCTGGGACTTAGGCCTGGACTCGGAAGATTCTTCCTAGTATTGAGGTCAAGGCATCTGTGTTCCTGCCTGGTCCAGCCCAGCAGAGGGTGTGTGATAATCCTAGTCTTTTTTTTTTTTTAAAGATTTATTTATTTACTATGTATACAGTGTTCTGCTGGCACACCAGAAGAGGGTACCAGATTTTATTACAGATGAAGGGGTACCAGATTTTATATAGATGGTTGTGAGTCACCATGTGGTTGCTGGGAATTGAACTCAGGACCTCTGGAAGAACAGCCAGTGAGTGCTCTTAACCTCTGAGCCATCTCTCCAGCCCCCATCCTGGTCTTAAAGAGGAGCAAATTGGGTAGAGCTCACTGGACTGTGCTTGGCACATGCATGAATCCCAGGGTTTGACCTTCGGCGTTGCATGAAACTGGACATGGTGGCACACATCTGTGTTTTCAGCACTAGGGATCTGGTGGCCAGAGGAGCAGAGTTCAAGGTCATCCTTGACTACATTGTGAGCTTTGTGCCAGCCTGGGCTACATGAGACCCTGTTTCAAAAAATAAAAGTAAAGAAACAACAACAACAACAACAACAACAACAACAACAACAACAACACACACACACACACACACACACACACCAGACAAAAAACAAATAAAAAAAGGCAAACAGAAACCCAGTCACATGAGGTCAGAGGAAGGCTTTAGACTCAAAGCCTGAGGGCTTCCAATTCCAGGGTCTCTGCTTAGCCCTTTTCCAGCACCTGAGCCTTTTCTCCTTCCAGGTGGTGACAGTGGCAGTATACAGCTTTTTCCTCGCATGCTTGGTGGGGCGGCAGTTTTTGAACCCAGTCAAGAACTACCCAGGCCATGAGATGGACCTCGTTGTACCTATCTTCACAATCTTACAATTCTTATTTTACATGGGCTGGCTGAAGGTAGGCCTCATCGATACTACCCTCCCCATTATAGGCGTGCACTGAAGGGCTATGGCCAGCAGCCACCTGGGAGGGAGATAAAGCAGCTAAAAAAGAAGGTCATGCATATCACACATGCATGAGCATACACAGACACACAAACTATTCTGTCCAACACACATATACAGAGAGAGAGAGAGAGTTGTAGTCTCCATATACCTTCTCCCAGTTACCTTTGTTTTCTAAAAGCTCATCTGGATTCTACTACTTTTATGCTTAAAATTATCTGAGGTGCCTCACTAGCTATCAGGATGTCCCCTGGACCCACAAAACAGTCATCACCCCTGTGGAGCTTTGCTTTAGTGTTTTAGATATTAGTGTCCGGGACACTCCCCTCCTGCCCACTGTAATTCAGCACAGCCTCAGCACTTATCTCTAACACCATGAAACAACAAATCCATGCGTATTAGGAAATAAAAAAGTGTACAAAAGAATCAATGCACTCGAGGTGAGTTAGTTACTCGGGTGGGATCAAGGTGGTGATTCAGCGGAGTGACATAGGAAGGGACAGCTGGTCTTCACGGGTAGGTCGCCTCATGAGGGTGAGAGGAGAAGAAGAGCAGAGACCAAGTACATGGAAGCCCCATGGGGAGGGTGCTAGGGCCCAACGCTGTGGCCTTGAAGACAGTTCAGCAGGAAGGGTATCACGAGGGAGTGGAAATGGCGGGACCCAAGGCTTAGGATGGGAACCAGAGTGTCAAGGTTCTCAGAGCCTCACCCCACGCCCATCCCCAAGGTGGCAGAGCAGCTCATCAACCCTTTCGGAGAGGATGATGATGATTTTGAGACCAACTTTATCATTGACAGAAACCTTCAGGTATGGGGGGGGGGGACTGTGCCATGGATCTTTCTCAAACTGGATCCCAAGAGGGGTCTCAGCAGTTTTCCAAGGAGACTCCCCAGCAAATAGCCTCCCCTTCTCAAACATTAGCCCTTTTCTCAGTCAGTCATTCATTCCCAGGACTCACACCTCAACTCTGGAGGCTGCAAGTAAGCATGAGTCTCTTCCGTACCACAGGGGGTGGGGAACTGAGGCCCCTAAGGCATCACACAAGCTCATGCGCCTGTCTGGGCTGCCCATGCTATTGGATACTCCGCTCTGTCCTTGGCAACCAGGTATCCCTGCTGTCTGTGGATGAGATGCACCAAGATTTGCCTCCCATGGAGCGTGACATGTACTGGAATGAGTTAGAGCCTCAACCTCCCTACACAGCTGCTTCTGCCCAGTCTCGTCGGCCATCCTTCTTGGGCTCTACCTTCAACATCAGGTAGGCAATGCCCAGAGACCTGGGCGAGGAAACGGAAACGCTCAAGTAAGGCTTCCCTAGCAACGTGGAACAGTTGCTACTACACGATGCGTGCCAGTAAGGACTAGGCGCTCTCTCTCTCTCTCTCTCTCTCTCTCTCTCTCTCTCTCTCTCTCGACAGGGTTTCTCTGTGTAGACCTGGCTGTCCTGGAACTCACTCTGTAGACCAGGCTAGCCACAAACTCACTGAGCTCCACCTGCCTCTGCCTCCTAAGTGCGGGATTAAAGGCGTGGGCCGCCACCGTCCAGCTTGGACATTCATTTTTTTTCCCTCCCAATAACCTTTGTTTGTTATCTCTACTTTTCAGACAATTAAGTAAGTTTAAAAGGAGCAATAAAGTTGCCCAGCCCAAAGTTACATAAGTGAGAAAGAACACGTGTGAGCTAGCTCTCTGGCTCCAGCTCCACATTCTTTATCTTTGGTTGGTTTCCTTGAGGTAGTCTCATACAGCCCAGGCTGCCTTCAGACTCACTATATTGCTGGGGGGTTACAGACAGGTTCCACTACTTTGGGGGGGGGGGCTTTTGGTGTTTTGTTTTGTTGAAGACAAGTGTCTTGCTATGTAGTCCAAGCTGGCTTTGAATCTTTGACAGCCCAGGCTAGCCTTGAATTCACAGTTCTCCTGCCTCAGTCTCTCCAGGAATAGGACTATAGGTGGGAACCATCACTCTGTGGCTCTCACATTATTATTATTATTATTATTATTATTATTATTATTATTATTATTATTATTTTCTTGAGACAGATCTCTGTACACAGCTCACTGTTTAGACAGGCTGGCCTAGAACTCACAAAGATTCTCCTGCCTCTGCCTCCCAAATTCTGGAATTAAAGACTTGCTGTGCCCCACCACATCCGGCTACCTCTACACTCTTAACCCTCCACAGTGCTGTGTGAGGCCCTCTGGTCCAGTCTCTCCTCCCTTGTGTAGAGGCCTAGGAAGAAATAGGACCTTTCCAAGGGCAGCCAGTGCCTGACGATGCAGTGAGATGCCGAGACCGGCTTTCTAACTCTGACCAGAAAAACTAGCCTTTGTGTGGACATGGAAGTCGGGGAAGCCTGGGGTAGAGGAGGGACAGCGAGGGAGTCCCAATTTCCTGAATAGACTGTCCTACAGAGAAAAGGCCTCCTTCCACCCACAGTGGCCACACTTTCCTCTGTACAATCCCATTTCATCTGAATTCCTCCTGGGCCTTCCTGCATCCCACAGAGTTCTCTGGATGACAGAGCTGAGAAGGCGCACTGTACTGTGCTGTTCTCTCTTTGTTCTTTTATGACCCAAAGAGTCCATTGAACTGAAGTCAGAATTAACTAGGATAATTTTGGAAGATGGTTTTGAACCTGTTTCATCTGAACACCAGCATTGAAGCTGGGTGGGGTCCCTGCCTCCAGGGGCTGTGCAAGCTAGTGAGCTGAGCATGCGCCCACCCATGGCCGAAGACTGGGCAGGATGCAGAACAGAGGTTGCTTTTGATTTTCTGGGCCTGCATGTCTTAGGTCTTAGAGCCAGGGAGACTTTGGATGTGGGCAAAGGCTCTACTCTGGGTAAGAAGCTTTTTCTTACAGGTTAAAGATCCTGAAGCCTCAGGAAGTCTGCTGCCAGGAAGCCAAACACCCTTTTGGAAGATATTGCTCCCCACTGGGAAACATAAATTCTTGGTTTTGCGTGGACACTAATGGGCCTTATCTGAGCTGGCTTTACCAGGAACAGATATTCCCATTGCCTGGAGAGAGATGCTTGAACAGGGTGGCTGATAAACAGGAGCCTGTGGGATTCAGGGAATTACTCTTGGTAAAAGCAGGAAGGCCCAAGTTTAATCTCCAGAACACACATGACAGTGACAGGCATAGTGGCACGCACTTGTAATCCTAGTGAAGAGGAAGATGCAGAAAGACCCCTGTAGATTGCTGGCCAGATAGACTAGCCTGACTGGTGAGTTTGAGGCTAATGGGAGACCATGTCCCAAAGAAGGTAGATGGTGTTCCTGAGAATGCAAACGGAGATTATCCTCTGACTTTCACATACACAGGTACTCCCCCCCCCCACATACACACACACACACACACACACACACAAACACACACATACACACACACATACACACACACATACACACACACATACACACACACATACACACACATACACACACACATACACACACACACATACACACACACACACACACACACACACACACATACACACACACACTTCCCAAATCTGTAACACTAGGCTGGGGAACTGAATGTTGCCAGTGAGCAAGAGGGAGCCTAAGGTTAACTAGGCCTTAAGAGACTCCCTGGGAAGGAGAGGAGAGCTGAGGCACTGGGAAGGCTGTGCAGCCTTGGTCCTGGCCAGAGACCTGTGCCCATCTTTCGGGTCCACCCACTTAGTTCTGTGCACACCTTTTCCTTCCAGCCTGCAGAAAGAAGACATGGAATTTCAGCCAAACGAGGAGGATGACGACAACGAGAACAATCATGGCAGTGTCATTGGCCGCTTCTTAGGGCTGCAGTCCAGTGACCACCAACCTCCCAGGACAGACTCAAAGACCAAACTATTGTGGTCCAAGAAGGACTCCTACCTCGAGAGCCAGCCTAATTCCAGGAAGAACTCTAGTGACCAGGAAGATAATGCCTGGAGACTTAAGACTCTGGACTCCTTCAGGGCTGCTCCACTGTTTGAGAGGCCAGGCTATCACAGTGCCCCACAGACACCCCTCAGCCACACTCCCATGGTCTTCCCTCCTGAGCAGTCAGCACCCTCCAAGCCTTACTTAGTCACAGGTACGGACACGAAAGACAAAAGCCTAACACCCATGACTTCTGAGACCAAGAACACTTTGTTTTAAAGATGTATTTTATGTATGTGTGTATGTCTTTTTGAGTATATGCCACATGTGTGCTGGTAACCCTGAGGCCAGAAGAGGGTGTTTGATCTCCTGGAGCTGGAGTTATAGGCAGCTGTGAGCTGCCAGTTATGGGTTCTGGGAACCAAACTCAGGTCCTCTGGAGCAGGAAATGCTTTTGACATCCAGGCAATTTCTCAAGACCAATGTTGAATTGCTCCTAGGTGATGAGGCTTCCCTGGAGCACCAAGAAGTCAATCACATGAAGAAGAAAACTGTGGAGTTTAACTTGAACATTCCAAAGAGTCCCATAGGATATTCTAGAGAACCCCATTTGGACCAGTGGCCAAACAACATACACACCATACTGAAGGACCATGTAGAGCCCCATCCCACCTTGGAAAACAGGTCTGTCCACCCCAATGAGGAACTATATTGCCACATGCTTGTGAACCAGTTTTTAAAGATCCCATTATTGCTGATGGGTCTAGGGACCTCTGTCCCCACATAGTTAACAGCCACCTTGGCAAGAACCATGTGTTTGGAGGCCTTTTGTCCACTTCAGCAGAACACTTCTGGAAAGTTAAACTGCACTAACAGAAGGCTGGAGGGCGGGCTATCTTGGGGAAGGGGGTAGTTGGCCAGGCTGTTTACTTTTTATAGGGATGGATGGTGACAAAAAGCCTTGAGATAGTACTAAGTCTCTAGTAGTAGGCCAAAGACCAGCCTCACTGCTCTATCAGCTAGATGACAAACACTTGTCTATGGGCCATCCCCAAGAACTCCTTCTCCCCAGGCATTGGCCAGGTCTCCTGGGGATACCTTCTCAGGGCTTCCAAAGCACCCGGAAAGCTGTCACGAGCCTACATCATGTTATTTCTCTTTGAAATTTCTTGGACATTTGCCAAGTTAGGAACATTCCACCCCCACACTGATCACATGGGGAGTCAATTTCCCACTTCCCCATTCTTGGTTTCATCTGTGATCAGAATGTCCACCTTTTTGGTCTAACTTGCTTCTAGGGCTAGACAATTGACTTCACAAATCTCCTGGGTGTGTTTAAGATAAGCTTCAACCTTAGTCCTCATAAAATCCTAAGTCGAGCACTTTCCCAACTCATGCAGGAACTTTCTCAAATCTTCTACAGGGATGAAACTGGCACCTAACGTGTTTAAGGGTGATGCTTCTTGGCCTGGTCCTCATCTTGCATGGATGCCAGCAGGACACTGATCCAGTCAGAGGCACACAGCTGTCGACACCCAAAGAATATGTTCCTGAGACAGTCTGGCAAAGGAATTCAGGACCAGGGGCACAGTCCTGTCCACACACACCTGTGTCTTACTATCTTCCCCACACTAAGGAGTTTAATAAATACAAGTATTCTTTTAGGTGTTCGGTGTCGTCATCAGAGTCACAGGGACACAACTGCACACTGACACACATTCAGACTCAAGACAACAGCTGGGTACCAAAATTCTTTATTTAAAGAAATGGTACAAATGAAAGAACTTAAGCGGATGTTTCGGTGCGACTCATAGAAAAGATAAAGGCAGACCGACATGCACGCACTGCCTCAGTGACCAGTGAAGCCACTGTGGCTCTGGGGAAGTCAGCTTAGCTGTCGTTACTATGGCCCAGGGTGTGCTTGTCAAACAGATATTCTGCCATGCCAGCTTCGGGGGCTCCCATCTTGCGCAAGTTGGTCACGTGGTTACCCAGTTCCTTGATGGATTTCACCTGCTCACTCAGGTAATGTGTCTCAATGAAGTCACACAACTAGGGAAGAAAACACGGGAGAAAGTCATTGGTCAGCTCTCCCAAGCCCTGTGGCAAATGACTGCCTCCATTCATCCCCCATGTTTTCAATACTCACGTGGGGGTCATTTTTGTCAGCAGCCAGTTTGTGCAGTTCCAGTAGTGACTGATTCACACTCTTTTCCAGGTGCAGTGCACACTCCATTGCATTCAGCCCGTTCTCCCAGTCATCACGGTCTGGTTTCTGCAAAGAGCATTAGGTCAGTTCATCCGCGACTCTACCAATCCACCTGTCGGTAAACGCCTCACCACCATGCTTTGCCTTAAGTTCCCTCTGACAACAGTTTCCCCCGGACTTTGCTCACTGCTGTCTGCCAACCTTGGTGTTGGTATAGGCCTAAAAAAGTCCAAGGGCAAAAAGCCCACTTTCTGCTCATCTGTAAGACACCCCTAGATCTACTCACCTTGATATCCTGCAGGAAGATTCGGCCACCTCGTTCGTTCTGCAGCTTCATCAGTTTCTCAGCGTGTTCCCTCTCCTCATGAGATTGATGGAGAAAGTATTTGGCAAAGTTCCTCAGAGCCACATCATCCCGGTCGAAGTAGCAAGACTGACAAAGCAAAGGGTACATGTTCCAGGTTCCCACAGCAAGGCAGCTGGCATTGCTGTAGGTGTTACGTTATTTGCTGCTCCACTCAGTAAGGAGGGGAGGACTTTGGAACTTGGCTTCTGCAAGTGTCCTATGGCTCGGTATTAGTGCAGAGAAAAAAGTTTTAAGCCAGGGCCACGTCTACTTGTCCGAGGGGGAGGGTGCTAGAGTATCCAGCCTACACTGGGAGGCCATTTTTCTTCTCCTTCACCTCATGTAAAAAACAGCTAACACAGGCTTACAAGCTTTCCAGCTGACTGATTTGTAAACATTAACATACCATGCCTGATGACATCTGAGGGGATTGTACTTTAGCACAAACATATCAGGAGATTTGATTCAGTTTCAGGCACTCGGTGTGTTTGGACATTCCAAAGAATGACAGCCACAAAAGCCTAGGCCTGTTTCAAATCTATTTGGAAAACACTTATTTTTGGATAATTCGCACAATCACAAGGCAATCAAAGGGTGATGCTCAACTCATTACACTGCCCCAAACCTGTTTTTCAGGAACATATTAGTGCATGGCAAACTTCCTTGCCCAGCAACTGATGGTGGGCTTTATCCAACAACTACCCACCGCTTCTGTTAATAAGTCTCAACTCTCAGAGGAAAAACCCGATACAGTACGCTGGATGTCTTAAGGGACAAAGTCGGGTGACACTGATGACTGCAAAAGGGGCGATTCTTAGAGATAATGTTTCAATACAAGTGAGGCTCTGTGATAAGCAGAGCGGAGAGGCAGAGACGGCTGCTTAAGGGGTCAAGGTACGCTCACAAGAGATAAGCCTCTTTGCACCAAGCCCCAATGCTGCCATTCGACACCATGACCAAGCAGACCCGCCATACTCAGAGGAACTGGAGCTGGATGCCTACCGAGGCAAAGAAGCCTACAGGCCACGTGACCGGAGAGGAGAGCGAAGAAAAAAAAGCACCTAACTGCAAGCTTGATTGGACGGGCTGACAGTCCAGCAGCCTTAAGACCTCAAAGAACGGGGGCGTGTGTATAACGACGCGCCTGGTCTCTGAAAGAGTCGCTGGGGCTAATAGCTCAGACCCGTCCCGCCCAGAGCTGCCCAGGGAGAGCCCCAGCAAACTCTATTTTCCAGAAGGGCGCCGAGAGGCCTGCAGCTGGCCACGCCCCAGCCCGCGCCCCGCCTGCTCCCCCGCTCCTCAAAGCGGCTCCGGGGAGGCCGCAGCCGACTCCCGCCCCGCTAAAGGCCAGGCCCGCTCACCATAGACAGGTAGACGTAGGAGGCATACAGTTCCAGGTTGATCTGGCGGTTGATGGCAGCCTCCGAGTCCTGGTGGTAGTTCTGGCGCACTTGCGAGGGAGACGCGGTGGTCATGGCGGCGGCGGCTGGCGACGCTGGAGCGGCGGAGCGACGAGTTTGCAGAGGGTTCTGGCTTGGAGCAGCCGGCTGGGGTCGGAGGGGTCGAGCGCCGGGTTCCGTTCAAGCACTGTTGAAGCAGGAAACCGCGGCGACTCCGGCGAGAACGTCTGGCGCTGGTGGCCAGCGGGCAGCTCTTATAGCGGGAGTCCGCGTCAGGCCGCGCTCTGGCCAATCAGCACCGCGGGCCGCCGAGACCCGCCCCTTCCTGTGGGCGTGCTGCCCAGACCCGCAGGGCGCGGGCGGGGATCCTGTGTGGGAGGCTGTGCCATGGGCGCTGTTCCTCTGCCAGAGCAGTGCCTGGCAACGAGCGGCCTGTTCTTGTGCCCCGAGGCGGGCGGTAGTTGGCTCCAGCCCTATGGCAGTGGCATCTGGGTCCTTGGGATCCTTGGGGACAGAGGGTGCAGAGGAGGGAGATTTTCAAGTCCCACAGGACATCCCTAAGCTCAGTACGTGTTGTTAAATCGTGACATACGTCTTACAAATAGGAAAATGGAAGCGTGGTGCTGTACGTGGCAAACGAGTTGTAACTTGGACTGGGAAAGAGCGGCTTTTTCTCTTTCAGTCTATGGAGAGAAGCGTTAAGGAGGAGTAGAGGGCCTATTGGGGAGGAGGGGGTTCGGGTCTGCCCCGTCATTCTGACTCAGGCAGCCCGGGACTTTTGCTGTTAGCAAAGATGGCTCCGGGCAGTTAAAAAAAAACAAAGGTTGAGGGGGCGTTTACTCTGGAGAGTAGGGACCGCCTTCTGTAGGGGGAAATCCTGGGGCCGAACCATCTAGGTTTCTGAGAAAGTCCCCGGTGATGCAGAAAATTAAGAGATGCCTCTGGATTAGGAAAGAAAGGAGAATCCACCTACGTGTATCTGTTTCAAAATGGTCTCCTTCATCTCTCTCAGTAACTTTGGGTTACTTTGTCCTTGGAGAAAAGCTGGTGGGGCTGAATGGCAGGTGACAGGTGCAGGAAACCTTGGAGGGACAAGGCAACTGTGTGTGTCTGGTAGCTGTGGCCCAGCTTCAAAATGGTTGTGAATTCTTAGGTAGCTGACCTAGAGGTTAGCCACTAGCTAGGCCCTGCCATCTATGTCTGCTACTCTCTGCTACTCATAGGTGGAAGTCCTAGCCTACGCTTCTCCAGATAGTCAGAGCTAGGAGCTGAACTTTCCAAACATTTTGTTGTTATTGTTTTGAGACAATGTTGACAAGGTTACTGTACAACCCAGACTGGTCTGGAACTCACTATGTAACCCAGGCTGGTTCCTGGTTCTCCTGCCACAGTTTCCAGAGAGCTGGGATTACAACCCTACATTACTAACGATATTTATTTATTTATTTATTTATTTATTTATTTATTTCAAGACAGGGTTTCTCTAACTATGGAGCCTGTCCTGGAACTTGCTCTGTAGACCAGGTGGACCTTGAACTCACAGAGATCTGCCTGCCTCTGCCTCCTGCTGGGATTAAAGGTGTGTCCACTCCCACAGCCCAGCTGGCATTTATTCTTTTAAAAACGTGTGTCCTCGCGGCAGTATGCTGCTGGATAAATACCCTAGCATCAAACTTCAGGAAGACGACCCTAAGAGAATGAATGATACTGAGATAAATTTGATGAACAAACTCCCGTTGGAAAGTGGAGGAGTGAGGTGGGAAAAGGAATTCCAAGTAGAGGGACTTGCATGTGCACAGATGTGGAAATGCTTCCTGTTCCAGAAACCTGAAGGAAAGTGTTTGTTGGCCTGGGAAACAAAGTACATCTTGGGAAGTGCTGGAAAGAATACAGTTAGATTGGTGTGCCATAAAAAGTCATTAAACTTTCCCCTGCAGGCAATATGGTGATACCATACCCATTTGCTTTTAGCCACCATCAGGAAATGTGATAGAAAAAAAATGAGTGGGGGAGTGATATCAAATATTTTCACTTAGATCAGCAGCATATATTCCAAGTACCAAGTAATAAGATTAACAGTAACATGAGGCAAAAAAAAAAAAAAAAAACCACCAAAAAACAGTTACCGTGATAAGGAGTCCTGAAGAGTCAACCTCCATATTACGATGTCAGCTCTAACCCTGTAATTCAACAGTCTGGAATGTAAAATCGCAGTGTTTCCTTGGTAGGGTATGATTCTGAGGTTCAAATGGAGTCATTGGACTAGCTGGTAAACATTGGAGGAAAACAAAGCTATAAGGGAAGACTGCTTGAGATTGCTGTTTTATACACATACACACACACATTTGTATATATTATATAAAAAGTATGGTACTGGCACAGGAAGATGAGATCAACATCAAGATATTTCTACCCATATACGTATAGGAACTTGATATAAGTTAAAGCCATGCCTTTCAAATTAGGGAAGAAGGGGCTTAGCCAATAATGTCGACACAATTATCATGTGGAAAAAAATGAATCATTCTGTGTTTAAAAATACCTTCCAGATGAATTAAAAATGCAACCCTTAAAGCTGAAATCTATAAAGTTTTAAGAAAACTGTTAAGGAGATTATCCAAATTTGGAGTAGGGAATGTTCTTTTGAGTCTGTCAAAAAGTTGGCAGGTTTGACTGCCTAAAAATGAAAAGCGTTTAGCTAAAGATATTTTAAACAAAGTTAACATAGAAATGGTGTGTTAGGCTGGTGGTATATGTTGTCCATAGAAAGGATGAAGATCAAGAGCCAGAATATGTATGTATAATACATGCTGTTTTCCGCCTTGGGGATGGAACCCAGACCTGGGGCAGACTACCCAGGCCCTCTACCACTGAAGTGCTCCTGCTGCAGTCCAGTTCCTTTTTTTCATTTAAAGATGGTCTCACTGTATTGTCTAGGCTAATCTCGAAAGCCTAGGCTCAAGCGATGCAGACTCCCTTGGATCACGGCACCAGTCTGTGCGATATCTGTAACCACTCCTCTTACACGAAACCGTTTGGTTGACTTCCCTACTACTGTAGATTGAAGGTATTTCCAGCACACTCAGTCCTTTGCAAGGTGCTTGTGACTTGGAGCTTGAACAAATGGATGCATTTTGTGTAGAGTTTGGATTCCAGTCAAGCCAGAGGGCTGGGTACCAGTTGGGAGACAGCTGCCATGGTTTTTAATGAGCGCAGGAGACAGAAAGCAGAAGAGAGACTATGGAGAAGATAAGATGGACAGATAAGAAGATAAGATGAGTTGAATGGTTGTGGATATTTTGTGGATTGGGAGGTGGGGTGTGGGTACCAGGTCCCCCAGTTTTCAGGCCTGGGCAGCTGGATTGCTGCAGCCCTGCATGGTGCCAGGGAAACAGAGAAGAAGCACCAGTTTGGGGAAAGGCTGTTGGGAAAGGTCAGCTTGGTTTTGAACTGGCTGTGCTGAGTCTCTAAGACTCCCAGGTGAACAGAACAGCATAAAGTTAAAGTTAGCCTCAAGGAAAGGAAGTTTGGGCTATTACATTAAGTTTTGTGAATCAGTGTTAGCTCCTTGCTTGTTAAATACATCCCTAGTTACAGAAAACGGCAGAGCAAACCAGGGATACAGTGTAATGTAGAGGGTCACTAAGGGAGGAGGTCTCGAAAGGAAATGGGAAGTGTGTGAGCATCTTGCTTGGGTCTGCTTCCCACCTTTTGGGAGCATTGGGTGCCAGAACTGTCATCTCCTAGCCTCCAGACTCTGAAGATGTGGCCGAGTCTTAAGAGGTTTGTTGATCAGGCCTCTGCCTCCCCACCCCCCATGTTGCCTCTACTCCTCGTGACTTTGAGGAGGGAGTTTGGCTAGCTGCCCAGAACAAGTTGAACAGTGGCCTCCCAGAGCCAGGAGCCACACAGCAAATGCAGGCCTGGAGAGAGAGGAAGGCCCCTCTGTTCTGTAGAATACTAGCTTGTTGCTGACAGAAGGTGGGGGTGGAGAAGCCTTGTGGTGGAAGGCTTTTGTTCACCGTGACTCAGCACTCTGCTCTTCCAGAGGGGTTGGGCTCCAAAAGTGCTTTGTCATGGAGGGGCAGGGCAGACTGGGAGGCTTTGGTTTGCTCTGGGAGAGAGGGCAGGGGGAGAGGGAGAGGAGCAGGAGGCAACATGTGAGAGCTCCCCCTTCCCCGTGGCACACAGAAGCTGGGCTGAGACTAAAGAAGCCTTGATCACCCAGCCAGGCTTGGATGGGTATTTTTTTTGTGCCAGAAATGCCTTTCTGTCTCTTGTAGGGACTTCTCAGCAGATAGTGGAACTCTTTTCCTTCTAGTAATTGCCCCTCTGCAGTTACCGCTGCTGAGGGTGCCACCTCCAAGAAGCCTTAGACATTTGGTACATTAGGGTCCAAGGGACACTAGAGCTTACAGATCGCTTTCCTTTGTTGGGCAGAGAGTGAGACCCAAAGAAGGTGAGGCTTGCTCAGGGGAATAATCACCAACTAAAACTGTTGTGGTGGAAGTCCAGGGCGATCATTAAACATCCTGTGACCGCTAAATGAAGTGCGGAGCAGAGTATGTGATGGAACACCTGGGCGATCATTAAACATCCTGTGCTCATTAGGTGTATGATGAACGTGCTGTCAGAGTGTGCATATGGAATAATGTTAAGTGGGAAACCAGAGCCCAAAATAGTTCCTGGAAGCCAGTTACGGAAAGAACAGCACAGGACTGCAAGCCAGTTAAGACTGGGTGGAAATGGACTTAAAGGCTCTCGAGGCTAGACAGCCAGTGTTGCACAAGTATGCGATTCCCTGAGAGCTGTGCAGGAAATTCTGACATTTGCAAAAGCACCGCTCAGCCAGATTGTCTGGTACATTCTAGATGAAGCAACTGTCACTCGGAGAGCATGTCCTTAAATCAGTTCTTAAAAATTCATGAGGTCATGTAGACTTAAAAGTCTAGACAGACACCCAGAATCCCTCTCTTCTGTAATGCTAAAGGTTGAGATTCACAACCTGGAATGTTAGGGGACAGTTGTGAATGGAAGCCCTGCCTCCCCTGACTGACTGCTTGCTCACCTTCCCTCTGTTTGCTTGCTCACCTTCCCTCCAGACTTTGTCCCCTGCTAGAGGCCCTTCTCCTTCCTGCCAACTGCAGCCTGCTAACTTTCCTCTGGTAACATCCTAAGACCCTCTCCCCCCCCCTCTTCACCCCAGCTCTCCAAAAATCCCCCCCTCTTTTAATTTCC